CGCCCCAGGACCCGCCTTTGGGCGAAGTGGTCTCCACACTCCCCTCCAGTCGACAAGGGCTTTTGAGCTTCAGCTGCCTCCTGCCCCCCAGCACGCTGCCCACCGGGCAGGAGGGGACAGGAAAGGGGCCAGCTTGCCAGCAGGCGCTCAGACGCCGCTCCTTCCGTCTGAGGGTGAACACCCTGGGCATCGACAGACCAACACGGGGCCTTTTGCTGGCTGACCTCCGACGTGGGCGTCTGGTTTCCCCAGCGTGGGCCTAGGCTGCGCTGCCCATGCCGGGGCCGTTTCAGCCTAGTGCGTCGGTCCCGCCTGGGATAAAGCGGGCGACTGACCCACGCGGCGTGGGGCCAGGGTACTCACTTGCGACATTGGAAGACAGCGACAGGCCTGTCTCGGCGTGGTACGGGTGCACTGCGATCTGGGTCATGGAGGGGACGGGCACCCCAGGGAAGGACACCGCCGTAGCTGCCAGGGATGGCGTTGTTACAGAATAGGGGTACTGGGCTCCTATGAACGCTGGGTGGACACCCTAGAAAGGAAGCTGGGTAACAGTCACAGGAACAGCGGCCCATCCAGCCCAGCATCCTGTCCGCAACGGTGGCCAATGCCAGGGGCCCCAGAGGGAGCGAACAGAACTGGGAACTCCTGAGCATTGCCAGTCACCCAGCTCTGGCGTCAGAGGGTCAGGGACCCCCAGACCTCCTCGGCTAACAGCCGCCGGCAGGCCTGTCCTCCACCAACGCGCACACCTCCTTGGGGAACGCCGCAGGGAGTCCCCCAGAACCGCCTGCTGCCTAGTAACTCACTGGGTGACTTCTCACTGGTGTTACGTGAGGGGGTAACCTCTGCGTGTACCCTCCTCGCAGCCCGAGGCAGGGCAGGGCTGTTACCCCATGGAATCAAGCGACGTGTTCCATGTCACAATCTGCTGTGGCAGGGGGGAAAGAACCTGCCTCTCCCGAGTTTCAGGCTTGTGCCCTCACCACGGGAACATCTGTCCTAGCTGGGCACCAGGACTAGCCAGACGAGAACCTTAGACAAGCCTGGGGCTCCAACGCCAGGAGCCTCCAGAAAGACCCCCCAAGCCTGACAGTCACTAGGAGGCAGGGGAGCCCGACATGGGGCTGACACCGTAGCTCTCTGGCCCGCTCCTCCTCCCTTCCAACCCGCAGGGCGGTGAACAGAACCAGGCGGACGAAGCATTTTAAAACCAGAACAGGCGCAGGAGCAAAACCGCTTCCAGCACATCCCCCTCGGCTGCCTCGCCGGCAAACGCCGCAGGCCCAGGACATTCCTGCAGCGAGCCTGGCCCGCCCCAGCCACTGCACCAGTACAAGCTGTAATGGCAGTAGCAGAGAGGAACTTTACAGCTGGGAGAGATGAAGTGACTTGCCAAGGCCACCAAGTGAAGCAGTGGCAGAGCTGAGACTGGAGCGCCAGAGATCTTGGATCCCAGCCCAAACTCCTCCCAAGGAGCAGAGCGAGGCCGCTCCAGGCCACGCGGGTGACTCACCTGGGGGTATGCTGAGCCAGGCACAGGGAAGACTGCTGGGCGTGGCATGTGCTGGATTGGGTGTCCGATATACTGGGGGTTACAGGGTATATGGGTCTGCAGAGTAGTGTAGGGGTGCAGGCCCTGGGTGTGCGTATGGGCCATGGCTGGCCCGGCCATCGTGTGCTGCTGGTAGATGGTGGACCCCACCGAGATCACGGGCACAACGGTCGCCGCTGCTGTCACTGCAGCTGCCACCGTCACCGTGGTGGGCTCAGCCGCCACCCTGCTGTCCGTCAGACCACGCACGGCCTCAGAGGCTGCCCGGGCACCGCTGGCGCTGCAGCCAGTGGCTCCTTCTCGCTGGGCCGGGGCCCCCCCGACAGTCTGCTCGTACAGCCAGTACCACTGGTGTGCCACTTCAAACAGGACTTCCGGGTACACCCCTCCGCCCTTGGCCGCCTCTTCCACCGCCAGGCAGGCCTTCTCCAGCATCAGGTTGTCCTGCGACGGGGCAGAGTGGAGAACACAAGACCAGCAGCATCAGACACACGGAAGTGCAGGGGGACAGGGCCGGGACTGCAGCTTGCCTCCAAACGGCCGCCGCCCACAGCAGGGTAACCACCGGGCGCCCGCAAGGACAGGAGACGTCTCAGTGCAGCACCACAATCGGCACCAACCGGCTCCTGGCAAGTCCAGGCCCTTCAGAGGTCAGAATGCCCCCAAGACCCGATGCTCACCTGCTCCTTGCACTGCACCAGGGCCCTCTGGATCTCGTTTGGGTTCAGGGCATGGGCATGGGGCAGGCAGCTGAGTGCCAGTTCAGCGGCCGCGCGCACCATGTTGGAGTCCCTGGCCCGGGACGCCCTGTCTGCCAGCGACGCCACTTCCGGGGGAGTCAGGTGTCCGTCCCAGCACTCCACCAGGATGTTCAAGGCTGCGCTGCCGATCTCCATGGCCTGCCCTGGTGCCAGAGGGGAAGAGAAGGACATCACACACCCCCCTCCGCTGACCAGCATCGAGCGCCGCCAGGGAGCCTCAAGCACGTCGACTCTGAGGCCAGCAGAAACCCCTTGGGCTCGCCTGCTTGGACCCGGGCCCACACAGGCCAGCGACTGCCCCAAGTCATCCCTAGCCCAGACCTGCCAGAAACAGCCCTTCGGATTTTCAAACGGCTCAGCGAATCCACCCGCCCCTGGGCGAGCCGCTCACGCGATGCCAGCGCATCCCCTCCGACTGCGCCCAGCCCCCGGCTCCTACCCCGGGAAGGAGAAGGATGGAGACGCCTGGACTGCCCCCAAGTCCCAGGGTCCCTTGGAGAAGGCAGGCAGACCCCAAGCTTCATGCCCAACTGGCAGGGCTGAGCGGACACGAGTTGGCAGCCCTGGAATCCACGGAACCTCGGGGCCCTCCTGGGAACCGCAGCGGCAAGAGGAGACGAAAGCGGCGCCTCTGCTCTCAGGAGCCAGTCCCCTGCACCAGCAGCTCCTCCAGCACAGCTGGACTGGCCTCCGCCTGCCCCAGGCCTGCCACACTGCGGGCTGCATCGCTCACCCGGGGCGCCCAGGGTGGACTGCTCCTGGGACGGACTCAAAGCTGCAGCCAGACCTGAGCCCTGGGGGAAGCACTGAGCTGCTCTCAGTGGTACAAGCGCCAGAGGTGCCCACGCCCAGAGGCTACCCCCAAGGCCTGGCTGCTGCCGAGACACCCCTGGGATGGGGAGCAGTGCACTGAGCTGGGGTGCCTGGAAGGTGGGTCCCAGGGTGCGGTGCGCACACAACGCGTCGTGCGTGTGGACACTGAACGGCGGGAGCCAGGCTGACTAACACACACCGGGGTAACTGCAGTGGCGGGCAGGAAAAGCGAAAGGGCAGCCGAAGCAGCAGACGCTCCAGCACCATGACAGGCAGCAGGAAGGGACTGAGCGCCCCTAGACCGCGCCACGCGGGTGCCACACCCGGAGCTCCCCCTGGAGCCCGAGTGCCTGACGCCGGTGCACGTGGTGAGCGTGCTCGCCGGCCGTGGCACGAACGGGGCAGCACGCCAAGCAGCAGCTGTAGGAGGCAGCCCGTGGCCATGCTCGCCCCCGGCCAACGACACTGCTACGCCCCAGCGCCCCGCCCCAGCGCCACGCCGCCCTGACCTGTGATCCAGGAGACGTGGGAGGAGTAGGTCCGTGAGAGCCAGTTGGGAGACACGAAGTTGTGCAGCCCGAGTGCATAGAGCCCGATCTCAAAGGCGCAGAGGTGGAGGTTGCGGTGGGGCCCCTGGTGCCCGCCGCTGGAGGAGGGGTGGGTGAAGATGGAGGTGCTGCTGTTCCCGCCTGCCTTGATGAGGACGGTCTTGGCCAGCTCGAAGTAGAAGTGGGCGGCTGCTTCCGAGGGCTGGTTTGGGACATGTGGGGCGTGGCTTTCCGGCCGCCTCCCTTTGTACCTGAGCGAGACGACACGGGAGCAGGCGCTTAGCTCCCTCCCCGGCTCTCCCAGGCTGCCGTGGACGGGAGGTGGCGCACGCTGGCAGCCCAGAGGGCCCTGGAGCTCACCTGCCCACTTCCACAGTCTTGGCGCGTGCTCCGCCGCTGGCTCTCCTGCTGCCACTTGACGAGGAGGAGCCCAGCGAGTCACTGGACGAGCTGCTAATGCTGTCGCTGTCCTGGCCTCTGCCCCAGGAGGTGGCTGCCCACCCCCCGCGCAGGGGCCGCCGACTGAGGGTCGGAGAGCTGTCCGAGGTGGTTTCGGGAGCACTGCTGTCTATGCTGGCCATGCCTACAAGAGCGCAGACAGCGTGGCAGAGGGTCAGCGCCTCTCTGGCGCCCTGGCACTGCCGGTGGTGGGGGCGGCGTGGAGGGCCACGCCCATTTGGCAGGCCCCGACCCGGAGACCCCGGCATGCCAGCGGAGGGGAAGGGAAGCCCATTGCCACGGCGCGGTGCCACGTCCCCGCTGTATGTCCAGCACTCACCACCCAACAGCCCTTTTCTCCACCTGCGCTCCCAGGGCAAAGGACTCCTCCAAACCACCAAAGGGGGGGCCAGCTCCCAGGGCCAGCACGGGCAGTGTTCAAGGCAAGGGGCTGTACGAGAGCCAGAATGCCAGCGGAGGGGAAGGGAAGCCCATTGCCACGGCGCGGTGCCACGTCCCCGCTGTATGTCCAGCACTCACCACCCAACAGCCCTTTTCTCCACCTGCGCTCCCAGGGCAAAGGACTCCTCCAAACCACCAAAGGGGGGGCCAGCTCCCAGGGCCAGCACGGGCAGTGTTCAAGGCAAGGGGCTGTACGAGAGCCAGACCCGCGTCGGCCCAATAAGAACAGCCTGCTCCGCTGGGGAGTGCACGGGGATGGTTCTGTCCCTACAGGCGGCCTTGCACCGCTCTGGATGCCACGGCCTGATCACCTCGCACCTGTATGTTTCTTCTTCTGCCTGACGGGGGAGCCCCAGCATCGCCCGTTGTATCCCCCTCGACTTCCAAGGGCCAGACGACTGGGAACCTTCCCCTCCTGTTTCACGACACCGGACTCCCCAGGCGGCTCGCAGGGAGACCTCTGAGAGCTCTCTGGACAAGGGGAAAGGAAACAGATGGACGCGTACGTGAACCCCACGCCCTGGTAAAGGCATCAACACTGCTCTCTTGCGCCACCCTGCCGCTGCACAGGATAACTCCAGAGCCCCCTCCCCTGGCTGGGTGCGTGGACAGCCGCGTTCCTCACGGCGCTCTGGCTCCCATGCAGAACCCTGCCCCCAGCGAATGCGCTCAACACCGGGTCTCGGGTCCTGTCCCGGCTTGTCTATTCCTGCAAACACTTGGCAGCACCGCGACACGACCCAGAAGACGCTAAGGGAGCCGTCCCTTTTACATGGCTCCGGAGCCCCTTTGCCGTTGGCTCTCTAGGGGCCGGGCGCTAGAGCCGAGAACTGCTCTCTCGCACCGGGGGGGCATGCTTGGCGTGGGCAGCTTCACCCCAGCAGCAAGGGGCAGCGGAGGGAGTCCAGTGACAGCCCATGACAAGTCAGCCCAGGCCTCCTCCCGGTAGGAACCGGGACTTCAGCTCCCCCTCCCACAGGGCACAACCCCCCGGAGCAGCAGACCTCTTACCTTGGGCACTCTTCTCCGCCAAGCCCTCGGAAGGGCTGCTCTGCGCTGCCGTGGCGACCCCGGCCTGCTGAGCCACCGGCGCCCCGGGCAGCTGCTGGAGCGCAGCGGCGGACTGGGCCGCGTGTTTGGAAGGAGATTTCTGATTGGCTGCTGTGGGCTTGCTGGATGAGTAGAAGGAGCTGAGAGTCTGTGGCTTGTGCGTCTGGCTCTCTCTGTCGAGCAGTTTGTCTAAAATCTTCAATGGGGAGAAAGTGTTGGGAGAGGCCGAGTGGGGGCGCCCACTGTCCCTGGGGTACGGGCAAGGCACTAGCTCGCCTTCCTGCAGGGGCAATGGACGCCGCCAGGCGAGAGTGCAAGAACCCCTGGCCACGCCCTGTAGGGACAGCAGCCAGACAGGCTCCGTACTCGGACTGCATCATTCTGGAAGGGCGGGTGCACACGGGACTGCTCCATCTGGAGCCAGAGACCCTTCCAGCGTCATTCTGACGCTTTGCTCCAGCGGTAAAACGCTTGCGGCAGGGCTCTGTACAGGCACCCGGGGACAACCTGTGAAAAGAGCCCCAGGCCTCCGAGAGCACAGGACTAGCCCTTTGGCAGGGCAAGACGGAGCAGAAGTAGCCTGAAAACCCAAAGGCAGGCGACAGCATCCCTGTGGGTGAGGGGAGAGGCCTGAGGGAGAACGAGGTGAGGGGTGCAGCCCCGGGAAGTGTGGCTCTGGGCTCCGAGCGTGCTCTGGAAGGAGAGCACAGGCAATGGCGCGCAGCCCCGTGCCAGGAGAGGGCAGCTCAGCTCCTCACCTTTTTCAGTTTAGACTGGTCGTCCTTGTAAGTGATCATCAGCGCGAGAGCCAGGTCGCCCTTCTCCCTCCGGGTGCCCTCGCACAGCAGAGGGTGCTCTGCCTCGCTCACTGTGGTCTTCATGCCTGCAGAGCCGAGACCAGGAGGATGGAGACAGGTGACTTCAAGGGGCTTATCAGTGTCGGAGACATTTTATCTCAGGGGTGCGCGAAGACCAGCCTGCGGGTCTGCCAGGGTTAGCCCTGGCGAGCCCCCACTGCTGGCGGGTTTGCCACTCCTGGCCAAGGGGAGCAGCGGGAAGTGGCGAGAACTGGGACACCACTTCCTGCTCTCCCATTGGCCGGGAAGAGTGATCCACGGGCCAATGGGAGCGGCCAGGGCGCCCACCTGCAGAGGCACAGGTAAATACAGCCACAGTGGAGAGCAAATCATTCTGTTAACCCTGCACACGCTCCCTTTACACTCACCCAGGTAGCTGCCTGGCACCCCCCTTGCTTGCTAACACACAGGACTGGGACCAGGGATTCTGTGTAACTCGCCCATGAAGACCCAAGCCAAGTCTGTGTCCCGCAGAGGAATTCTACTAGGCTTTAACCCCTTCCAAACTGACTGTGCGTAACTGGCAATTCCGCCAGGCCAAGCAGTCAGGCACCGCACCACAGAAGGGGCAGGATTGAGACAAGCCCCCCAGCCCCAGCAAGGTGGAGGAAAAGCTGGAGTCTTACCAAGTGCGGCAACAGCTGCCTCAAAGCCGAGCTCCTCGTCTCCAGGCATTTCGTTATTCCAGTTGCGGCTTGGGGGCCTGGACCCTGTGGGAGAAACCACTGGGGAGACAGAAAGGAAGTTAGTGAGCAGCTGAGTGAAGCCAGGACCCCACACTGCCGGGGGTCTGTATTCACTGCAAGTCACCGTCTGCCCTCACCTGGCCCTCCCAATGCGAGCCCTGCCCGGTTCTCGGCGAGCTAGGGGTGCGTGTCCCCCAGAAGCAGCAGCACTGGGGCCAGAACACGCACTGAACGGCTCCGGGCCCATTTGAGGGATGCACATGGGGATGCAATGGGGTCAGGGTCCCCATGCCCCTGGGCGACAGGCAAGCGAGGCAGGAGGCCGGCTCTGAGGGAGGGAGCAGCAGAAGTGCAGGGGAGAGAGGAGAATGGGGCTGCGACCATCAGCAGCGAGGAGCAATTTCCCCTGCAAGTTTCTTTTGGCCGCCCGGCTCAGAGCCCAAGAACAAGCCAGCCGGGCCGTACCTGGAGTGCACAGCACATCGAATATGAAGCTGGCCAGCATGAGAGGCAGGACAGGGCGGTAATCACACAAGGTCCCTTCTCTCAGCTCCTCCGCCCTTCCTCGAATGGTGTTCATCTCATTGGTGCCCAGAGGGATCTTCTTTAGCAAGGCCACAACCTCCGATTCCTGGTAGGCCAGCTTCACCTGCAGGTCCCCAGAAGGAAACCAAGAGAAGCCATCAGAGACCGTTGGCTGTAGAACAGCCTGCCCTGTGCACGCGACCAAACGGAAACGGTTGGTACCGATTCATTGGCGTCTAGCCAGCCGGACACACAAGTCTGACACATGGGCTTTCCCCTACACACAGCCTTCTCCCCTCCCTTTCCAAACAAGCACTCTGTGGTCTGGGGGAGGGGAGGGTCCGGCTTCACCAGGACCTGTGGAGAAGCCTCCAGCCAGACGGTCGCTAGGAAGGCAAGCCGCCAACCCCTCTCTGCAGTACAGAGCAAGGAGGCAGCAGCTGACCATACTCCGGTCACATTCCACTGCACAGACACTGCTGAACTCCCGTGGGTCCGCCTCCCAGCCACGCCCCGTGCCAGGCTTCTCACCAGGCAGAGTGTGTGGAGAGCCTCAGGGAGCAAGTTTGTTCCAAGGCTGGGGATTGGTCAGCACGTGGCAGGAGCAGCGACTCCCAGCACCGTGGTCTGAGCAGATCCCGTTTCTAGAAGGCGGCACACAGGCACTGGCGCACGGCCGGCGTGCACACGCCGTGTCGTCCAAACGCACGGGCTGGCAGGAGCAGCGACTCCCAGCACCGTGGTCTGAGCAGATCCCGTTTCTAGAAGGCGGCACACAGGCACTGGCGCACGGCCGGCGTGCACACGCCGTGTCGTCCAAACGCACGGGCTGGCAGGAGCAGCGACTCCCAGCACCGTGGTCTGAGCAGATCCCGTTTCTAGAAGGCGGCACACAGGCACTGGCGCACGGCCGGCGTGCACACGCCGTGTCGTCCAAACGCACGGGCTGGCAGGAGCAGCGACTCCCAGCACCGTGGTCTGAGCAGATCCCGTTTCTAGAAGGCGGCACACAGGCACTGGCGCACGGCCGGCGTGCACACGCCGTGTCGTCCAAACGCACGGGCTGGCAGGAGCAGCGACTCCCAGCACCGTGGTCTGAGCAGATCCCGTTTCTAGAAGGCGGCACACAGGCACTGGCGCACGGCCGGCGTGCACACGCCGTGTCGTCCAAACGCACGGGCTGGCAGGAGCAGCGACTCCCAGCACCGTGGTCTGAGCAGATCCCGTTTCTAGAAGGCGGCACACAGGCACTGGCGCACGGCCGGCGTGCACACGCCGTGTCGTCCAAACGCACGGGCTGGCAGGAGCAGCGACTCCCAGCACCGTGGTCTGAGCAGATCCCGTTTCTAGAAGGCGGCACACAGGCACTGGCGCACGGCCGGCGTGCACACGCCGTGTCGTCCAAACGCACGGGCTGGCAGGAGCAGCGACTCCCAGCACCGTGGTCTGAGCAGATCCCGTTTCTAGAAGGCGGCACACAGGCACTGGCGCACGGCCGGCGTGCACACGCCGTGTCGTCCAAACGCACGGGCTGGCAGGAGCAGCGACTCCCAGCACCGTGGTCTGAGCAGATCCCGTTTCTAGAAGGCGGCACACAGGCACTGGCGCACGGCCGGCGTGCACACGCCGTGTCGTCCAAACGCACGGGCTGGCAGGAGCAGCGACTCCCAGCACCGTGGTCTGAGCAGATCCCGTTTCTAGAAGGCGGCACACAGGCACTGGCGCACGGCCGGCGTGCACACGCCGTGTCGTCCAAACGCACGGGCTGGCAGGAGCAGCGACTCCCAGCACCGTGGTCTGAGCAGATCCCGTTTCTAGAAGGCGGCACACAGGCACTGGCGCACGGCCGGCGTGCACACGCCGTGTCGTCCAAACGCACGGGCTGGCAGGAGCAGCGACTCCCAGCACCGTGGTCTGAGCAGATCCCGTTTCTAGAAGGCGGCACACAGGCACTGGCGCACGGCCGGCGTGCACACGCCGTGTCGTCCAAACGCACGGGCTGGCAGGAGCAGCGACTCCCAGCACCGTGGTCTGAGCAGATCCCGTTTCTAGAAGGCGGCACACAGGCACTGGCGCACGGCCGGCGTGCACACGCCGTGTCGTCCAAACGCACGGGCTGGCAGGAGCAGCGACTCCCAGCACCGTGGTCTGAGCAGATCCCGTTTCTAGAAGGCGGCACACAGGCACTGGCGCACGGCCGGCGTGCACACGCCGTGTCGTCCAAACGCACGGGCTGGCAGGAGCAGCGACTCCCAGCACCGTGGTCTGAGCAGATCCCGTTTCTAGAAGGCGGCACACAGGCACTGGCGCACGGCCGGCGTGCACACGCCGTGTCGTCCAAACGCACGGTCTGGCAGGAGCAGCGGCCTGCAAATGGGAAGTGATCAGTTCAATTAGTGCAACTCCTGTGTGGCGCTCCAGACTGGCTTTACCGCCCAGCCGTTTCCAGTGCCTGCACAGGGTTCCACTGGCTTAAATCCAGTCACTTGAAATGCACCTTCCGCCTCCAACCAGCACTGAGCTCCCTCCCACAGAGCCAGCCCGCTGCCTCTCAGCACAGGAGTGATGCTGGCGACCAGCCTGCCTACTGCTGCGAGAACGCCCACAGGTAGGAGGCAGCGGGGAAACCCCAGCAGCATGGGGCTGCCCAGAGGCACCGCCTTTCTGAGCCCCTTGGTACCTCCAGGGCCTTGGTCGAGGCCGGGGGTCTCTGGAGCTCCAGGGCGAACGTCGCCATCCACGTCTGCTTGCTGGTCGACACCTTGTTCTTCTTCCCCTGGGCGAGGAGTGGCTCATAAGAGGTCTGCAAGGGAATGAACTGGCCCCAGCAGTGCGAGGGTGGGACAGCGCTTCCCCTGCTCTGCAGGCAGGAGCACCTCCCAGCTGTGCCACGGGGAGAGCACACGGAGCAGTGCCTTGCCCCCTCCGTCACTCAGCAGTTTGGGGGCGATGAACAGACCCACATTTGCACACGGCACCCTTCTGGTGCAGAACCCCCATTGCCACGGGGTCTGGGTGGCCCCTCCTGCCCTTCCCCCACATGGCGACGTAATGCTGGATGCCGGCTGGGACTATGTCCCTTCCCTTCCCATGGCAGGGACCCCACCAGCACGTGCTTAGTGCCATGCGGATTCCCAGCCACCCCTTCCTTCCTCACGTGCCCCCCCAAAACCCCCAAGATCCCCACGCAGCTTGCGGCAGGGTCCAAGCAATGGAGCATGCTACCCAGGAGGAGACTGAGGGCTGAACAAGCACAAGCCCAGGCAAGGCAACGCAGGGCTGTGGGAAGACAAGGCATTTCCCAGCACTGGCACTGCACCACACAGCGCGGCTCAGGGACGTGCCTGGCCTCCACGGCAGGAGCTGGTCCCTGGGGTTCCCACGTGGCAAACCAGAACCAGGGCGAGGGAGGCTGAAAGTCCCTCCAAGGCCCTGCCCTCCCTGGTGAAATGCTCCCCAGCCAGAGAGGCCCAGGGCAGGCGAGAGCCCAGCACAGGAACCAGTGCCCTTACCAGTGCTGCCGTGTCAGTGAGAGAGGTCACAAGGCAGGAGCCAACACATACAGAGTAGCCCAATGTCTGTGACTAACGCTGGCTGTTCCCTGGGCGGCGCTGACGCCTCCCGCCGTGGCGCTCGGCTGACTTCTGCGCCGCTCAGCCGGGCCG